GATGGAGGGAGGGATGGATGGATGCGTGGATGGAAGGAGGGATGAAAGGTGGGTGAGGGAGTGGAGGGATGGACAGAAGATGGATGGATGGATGGATGGATGGATGGATGGATGGATGGATGGATGGGTAGAAGGAGGGAGGGAGGGAAGGAGGGAGGGAGGGAGGGATGGATGGATGGTGGGTGGGTGGACAAATGGAGGGATGGACAGAAGGTGGATGGATGTCAGATGGACACATTGACGGATGGACAGGTGGACAGATGAGTTGGAGGCACGGGAAGTGGGTGATGGAGGATGGAGGGATGGGCAGAAGATGGATGGGAGGTGGATGGACAGGAGATGGAAGGACGGACGGATGGAAGATGGATAAGTTGGTGGATGGGTGGACAGAAGATGGATGGATAGATGTAGGATGGACAGACGGGTCGATGGATGGAGAGATGGACGGATGAGTTGTAGGCACAGAAAATAGATGGTGGAAGATGGAAGGATGAGTTGATGGATGGACAGAAAATGGAAGGATGAGTTGATGGATGGACAGAAGATGGATGGATGGACAGGAAATGGATGGATGACAGGAGATGGATGGATGGACAGGAAATGGATGGATGGACAGGAGATGGATGGATGAGTCAGCGAACGAAGGAAGAAGGAAGGACTGACTGGAGATGGACGGTCAGATGCTCTGGAGGTGGAGAGATGAGCGGAAGGATGATGGATGGATGGACAGAAGGACGGATGGAAGATGGATGGGTGCACTGAACGGAGGGGAGGTGGACAGGGGGGTAGGAATGAGTGAGATGAGGATGAGGGATGGAAGACGGAGAGATGGAGAGGGGTGAGCTGGGGGCAGGTGGAAGAGGGATGGACGTTTGGGCAGAAGACGGACGGACGGGACGGTGGGTGAGATGGGGGTTGGGGAGCTGGGACCCCTCCGAGCGCCCACCCACAGGTTCGGGAGCAAGGAGGAGTACATGGCCTTCATGAACGAGTTCCTGGAGCTGGAGTGGACCAGCATGCAGCAGTTCCTCTACGAGATCTCCAACCTGGACACCCTGACCAACAGCACCAGCTTCGAGGGCTACATCGACCTGGGCCGCGAGCTCTCCACCCTGCACGCCCTGCTGTGGGAGGTCATGTCCCAGCTCAGCAAGGTGCCGGGGGGTCGTGGGTCCTCCCCGGGGGTCGCGGGGGTCCGGGACGCTCGGGTCGTCCCCATGGGTTCGCCTCGGGGGAAGTTCTGGGGTCTGGGACATTCGGGGGACGTCGCAGGGTTGGGTTCCGACCCTCCGCCTCAGGAGGGCGCCGGGGGTCCCCCACGTCCCCAAGGGGGTCTCGCCCGCCCGCGGGGGTCCGGAGGGGCGTTGTGGGGGGGACACGCGGCCTCGCCCCGCAGGAAGCCCTGCTGAAGCTGGGCCCGCTGCCCCGCCTGCTGACCGACATCAGCGTCGCCCTCCGCAACCCCCACCTGCAGCGGCAGCCCAGCCAGGGGGAGCGGCTGCCCCCCAAGGGTTTGGTGCTGCGGGGGCCCTCGGCCGACCTCCAGCCCTACCTCGTCCGTGACCTCAACAGGTGCGACCCCCAGATCCCCCCCCTGGGGTCCATGGTGACCCCCATCCCTCCCAGTGCTGTGGGGTGTCCCTGTAGGGACCCCTGGGGTCACCCCCCCACCCCCCCCCCGTCTGTCCCCACAGCTCTGTTGACCTCCAGTCCTACATGGTGCGGGGCC